TATATATATATATATATATATATTAAAAAAATGGTCATAGGTTATTATATGAGTCTCCAGCCACTCCTAATATGCCTAAATATTTAAGTGTCACCTTCTTAAGACTCACGTCGTCAGAGGGGATTCAAACCTCCAATCTGAGGGGTCTTACCAACCAACACGTTGGACTTTTTAAATACAATTTTATTTACATATTAAAAAGTAGAAAATTTTATATATTTTGGTTTGATTGTTACAAATAGAAAATAAGTTATTTCAAATATCATATCCTTTAATAGTAGATTTTTTTTTTCCTAAAAAAATTAGATGATGATTTAAGTAATAATAATATGTCCGAAAATTTCATTAAAATCATCAAAGTTAATTTTTTAATCAACAAATTTATTTTATTACCAATATGATGTATAATCAATTAATTATTTTGTTTAAAATACCCAATTTAAAATTTATTGTAATTAATTTTTTATAATACTTTAATCATTTAATTTAAGATTTGTTGTGATTAATGCAATAAATGACTAATAATTAAATTAATGAGTAGTCTGATTATTTATACAGGACTGTTTTAGTCCTAGAGTTTATAGAAATATCAAAATAGTTCCCGCACTTTAAAATTGGACTGAAATAAGACTTAAATAGTCAATTAAAACTCAATTTTAAAATAATTGACGACTATTTTAACATTATTATAAATTATGGACTAAAATTATATCATATAAATAGACGACTATTTTGGCACTATTAAGTTATGATTACTGAACCTAATTTTGATCAATTTTAAAATAATTAAGACGACCAAATGCTTAAATTCTTCAAATTTAAATTGGAAAATTTTCATACACACAACTCTTCTTCAAATTTAAATTGGAAAATTTTCATACACACCACTCAATTATTATGTATTTACATATTTAACATCTAAATTTTGATAATTATATCTATAACACTTTGCTCTTATAAATTTATACAAGAGTTGTATTCATTTTTATAAACATAACAAAAGTAAAAAATTTGAATGTAATTTCATGCATATAAGTATGAAAATATAGGTGGTATATATGTAAATATTTAAATATATAAGAATTGAGGAGTATGTATGTACTTTATATAAAATAAATGTAAAATAGGAGTCGAATTTTTGACCGATAACAAAAACAAAACCTACTAAATTATTATTTTCTATTTGTTTTTTTAAGTAATTATTTATTTGTGGTAATGAAAAGAGAGGTGGCTAACAACAATTTAAGTCCATTCCACACATGTTTTCATTGTTTTGGACCACTTCAAGGTGTCCATATCTTAATTAAGGAGTGGGCCATATAATACAAGGGAATTTAACATTAAATTATGATAAGAATATTTAATTTTGTAAAAATCTTGATTGTATTTGATGTGTGCTAGAAGATTCAAGGCAGTAGAGTAATGAATTATCGTCTTAGCATTGCACGAGAATTGAACACACTCGAAAGAAAGAAACAACCAGTAGAGATACCAGAAGTTTTTACGTGGAAAAATTGTAATGGGAAAAAATAATGGTTTCTGACTGAGCTGAAGAAATCCAATATAAAGTAGAGATTACATGTATAGTCTCTCGTTCCACAGGCGAGAAGAGATTACACGGTCTCTCGAATTATAATGTCGTTGAGCGGATCAACTTGTTGCAAGTAACGGGCAACAGCTGATAGTGATCGTCAACAGCCGACACGTGGTGGTCGGTGGCGGTCGACGACGTTCTGAGTTATGTCGACCTTCACCTCCTTCTCAAAGCTTCAAACTCTTCATCAAGCATCAAACTCTCTACCTTCTTCATGAGAGGAGTGTGGCTCAATCTATAAAGTTTCAAGTGCAATTAATGCAGGAATCTCAACCATTTTGATCAGACGATCTGAAGTTTCTTAGTGGACCTTTGAGTGTCTTAATAATGTCATAATTGAGAGATCTTGAGCTCATAAGATTCTTATCGAGATGCTCAATCCGACCAAGAGCTCACCGGATTCGGCATTAGTTTGATCTTCTAAATATGTCCAACAAGCTTCCAAAAACAATTTAATTGTTTGATCGGGGCTTGATTTGACTCGATTTGGACCCATTTTGGTATCATTGGGTTCATCTCATCGAGCCGGTCAATTTGACTATAAATTTATTGCAATTTTTATATAACTTTTAATTGAAGTTTTAACACTCATTGCTCAAAAGATTTTCTCAAGATCCGTGTCATAACTCAATATTCATGTTAAATGATAGATTTATTGTTGGCATATCAGTGTTCATGCGACTAACTTGACAAATATAACATATAATTTGAGGCAAATATTAGAGATATTATTTGTAAAAAAAAAAAAAATTTTTGAGGCAAATATTAGAGATATTATTTGTAAAAAATTTTTTTTTTAAAATGAGCCTAAATGATAATATGTATGATTCAAACTCATGACCACCCTCAACTATTATATCACCGATTAATGTGCATATTATTTGCTAGAATATAATCAGTTTATTTTTTATTATTGTTCAGTTTCTTCTTCTTTTTTTTTTAAATGGTTGAGAGCCGACTTAGAACTAACTATAACTTAGTTTTGACTACTCGTTTGACCACAAATAATTTGCAACTAAATTTTATATAGTTAGTTATGTCCAGTTCAATTTGGACATATTGTGTAATTATAATTTGCAACTAAATTTTATAATGTAGACTTTGATAATTACATGTAAATAGTAATTTGTGGGGTGGGGGCATGAAAAATCATTATAAACACGTCAACATAAAATTCCAAGAGCCCTGGAGTTCCCACTAGCATGAATCTTTGAATTTCTCTTTGTTGCTCTGTTTGGCTTGCCTTCTTCGTTCACATTACAATAATTTTCTTAAGGGATTTATTTTGACCTAACCTCTCACTCTCAGTCTCCTCCCCAAGCTCTTCAAGCTTAATTCATTTCTTTCAGATTTTAGGTATCTTTCTGTAAATAATTTAAAAATCAACATCATTCTTCGTGTGATAAGTGCAAGAAATATGAAAGACTTTGCCATGTCTTCATCCTTCTTCCTAATCTTTCATGATATTCGCACTAGTCGTACGGTCACTACGAGTTTTTAATCATGATTTTTGCTATAAAACAAACAACATATGTGGATCACATCATAAGTCGCAATAAGTCATGTACGACCTGATGATTTTGTTAGTTTCAAATAAATGAATTGTGTGGAGGATTATCCAATGAGAATAATTTGAAAGAATTTTTATTATTTTCTACAAAAATTGACCTTTTTATAATCCCCTCTGGAGAACTAAGATCTATTATTTCTCCTAGCAATGTGTTACTTACCTTCATGAGTTACTAGTCTAGTTCCATTTGAAGATGATAGAACCTGTCTTCCCAAGGATACTCCATTCCCTCATCATCCTACTAAGCATTATGTTGACCATATGAATTCTCTATGTTTAAACATTGAAAGTTCAATAGTTGCTATGTAAGAACAGACTTTCATCTTCTTCCCTCCTGCTATCATTCACCGCCTCTCTCGAATCCTAAAACTTTCGTAATTCCTTTGCTCTTCCCCTCGTTCAATCTCTGCTCCGTTTCAACAATTTTCCTTTGTTGTGCCACCCTTGCTAATGTTTGCACCAAATTTTATTTTATGTTCTTAATGAATTTCAAAAATAATTATTCTCGTTTTATTGATGTATAGACTTTTATTTAATTATTTTCATCTCGTGTTTCCAGTAGTTAATATTTTCTTTTAGAGCATTTGTGTTAAATTTCATTATTGCAAATTCATAATTATGTATAAATACTGGTGAACATATTATACTTATATTCTCGTGATTTAATTGTGATGCCTAAAGTACACTTGATATTATAATATTATTAAGTTGGAATAAAACTCTTATTCTGATTAGTCAGACTAATGGGTCCATAGAGAAATCATTGGATTTTCATGAGATTAGTGTCGAACATATATCAACTTCCTGTTTGTTCAACAATGAACTAATGGAAGTGTGCTTTGGATTATTCGACATTCCCATGTTTACTTTCTCTTGGCCATCAATGGTTGACTTGGTTTCTTCCTTGAGTTGAGGGGGTGCATCCCCAACTAAGAGGTCGTGGGAAACCCATTATATATAAATGTAATTATACACACAAACCTGGAAGTGTGCTTTGGATTATTCGACATTCCCATGTTTACTTTCTCTTGGCCATCAATGGTTGACTTGGTTTCTTCCTTGAGTTGAGGGGGTGCATCCCCAACTAAGAGGTCGTGGGAAACCCATTATATATAAATGTAATTACACACACACACACACACACACACACAGACACACACACAAGTATGTAAGTATATGTATATATACATATACTTATCATTTATTGTACATATAATTTATTGTATACTATCTTGTAATGTTAAAATATTGGTAAGTCTTATATGTATGAACACGCTTGATATTGTGAAATATAAATACTTAAAAGTGCGTGAGTTTAAGGCACTCATATTCATTATCAAAAGCATTTGATACGCTTTTACAAATTATGTTATGCATTTAATAAAATATCTAGTTTTATCATTCATACTGTATCATTCATACTGCATGCCCTATTTTCTTTGACATTTATGCTTTAATAAATAGTAGTTATTTATTAAAATTGATTTGTCAAACTTTTTTATTTTTATATACCAATTTGCGCTCAATTACTAAGAAGATCATCTCCAACGGAGCAAGACTTTCTAACTTTATATTTTTTTTTTTGTTTTTTCAATTAGTCATTGTATTTTCTTTTGGGTCTGGGTAGTTATTTATCTACTGTCATTTCAGTCTCTTTTCGATTGTTTCTTTATTTCTTTCAATTGTATCAGTTGGGTCATTTTTATTTATGAAATGAAATAAAATTCATTTCCTTGCTTATTTCAATTATCACCTTTGTATGATCATTCTTTTTTTAGAATACAAAATGAGTTTACATCCTTTCATCATACTCTATATTATTGTGATGTATTATCTCCCTGATCCAAAATGTGACGCATCAGAGTTCAAAATGTCATTTCTGGGATCATATAGAAGGAAGTTCGACCCAATCAACCACATCACTCCCTTCAAATAATTGATCGCCCTTCATATTGAAAGTGATGTAGTAAAAATTTCTTAACACTTCAATATTTTTAAGTAGGCATCAATATTATTCCATCCCCTTAGAAGCATCACCTCCTTTGTTGATTTCAAGTGACAATTCATCTCATATTTCACTAATTTCTAAAAACAACTAATGATATTTTGAGTTTTTTGAAGATGATAAGGTTATGGGGAACACCTCCTCCATTTCATTATATCATTATAATGCAAAATTTTGAACAAGCAAAATATGATATCATTGCGCAATGAGTGCTCAATAAAAAAAAAATCATATAATAGGCTTACAACAAATAAAGACTTTTGGTGAGAGATTATTGCTTCTGACACCGAACGTAAATTTGCATCCAGTGTCTAATTAAAATTGTCCACCTGCAAATATACGGCCCACCAAATACAATTTTTCTTTTGTTTTTTTAAAAGAGTGGGACCCATCTTCCAAGTGTTCATTTTTAATTAGAAATCAGACGCAAATTTGTGTCTAGTGTCCTGATCCAATAATTTTTTCACTGCTAGAGTTGACTAACAATCACATTTAAAAAGATAGTAAAAATTTTATTTTTAAAAATTGTCCACCTGCAAATATACGGCCCACCAAATACAATTTTTCTTTTGTTTTTTTAAAAGAGTAGGACCCATCTTCCAAGTGTTCATTTTTAATTAGAAATCAGACGCAAATTTGTGTCTGGTGCTTTGAGTCCGGTGTCCTGATCCAATAATTTTTTCAGTGCTAGAGTTGACTAACAATCAGATTTAAAAAGATAGTAAAAACTATATTTTTGATGTGATGCGAAGATTTGAATGACATGCATGTAAAAGTAAATATTCAAGAGTCAGACATGTAAATACAAAGAATCGTCTGGTATATATGTAAATACCTCATAAAACAATAAATTTGCATTATGAAGATCCCATATTAAAAAATCACAATAATGCTTACTTAAACCAATATCCATGCTACAGTACAAACTCTCATCACTAAACAACTCTCTCAACTCACAACTTCATCTCCAAATTTTCCCTCATCCTTAAAAATCAGCTCCTCATCCATCCTAGAATCACCTAAATCCATAACCTCACCACTATCCCTAACTTCTCTTAATTCTTCTTCTTTCAAGTTCTTGTTCTGAACTTTTTCAGTTTCAATGCATTCGCTATCATTTATCTCCCCGTCGCAGATCGGCGAAACATCAATATCAGTGGCCTGAACCAATTTATCAGACGCTTTGTCGTCCGCTTCACCTCTAGCCTCTTCAGCTAACAGCTCGTCGACATCAATGGCGGAGCTAACAATGCTTCGCCGCCTCTTTCCATTTACGTGCGGACCACAGCTCGCTAGTTTCGACTCCGACGACGGCTGCTGCTGCAGCATTGACGTGTTCGGAGGCAGAGACGAAGCTTTTGCTAAGCCTGATTGAACTTGGGAAACCTTGGATGGAGGAAGGGAAAACCTTGTGTTAAGAGCATGAGTTCCCGTCATGGCGGCGGTGGCGGCGGTGGTGGTGGAAGCGGATGCCGAGGAGGAGGATAAAGTACCGGTAACTGACGAACCTGTGAGACCGGCGGCAAAGGCGGCGGCTTTTATAAGAGGATTTGGGCAGATGGAGGGCTTCATTTGGGGTGATGGAGGCTTCTTCAGGGTGGTTCGGGGCTTATTTGAAGGGTTTGCGGATGGTTTCTGAGAGGAGGTTTCAGTGGTGGTGATTGGTTGCGGGTTTGGTTTAGAAGCTTGAGAAGCAGGAGGCTGTGATTCATCAACCATTGCACCTGTTCCTCCAGATGTTCCTCCAGCTATGGATGTGGATGAATGTGTAACCCCTGTTACATTTTCAACCCTGGAATTCATTAGTTTCTAATTAACATTTTTTTCTATAAGATGAAAAATTAGTCTAAACTTTAATATAAACATTTTAAAAACAAAACATTTTAAAAACAAAAATGGAGGAAAGTCATGGACAGAATTTAGTCATAAAAATCCCCCAAAATAGTCTATTGACTGTTTGCAGGGATCATTTTAGTCCTAAAGTATATAAAAGTGTCAATTTAGTCCCAATTTTTTTTAATATTGGCTGAAATAGTTCAAAATAGTTCACCCGGAGGACTTTCAGCTCCTAATAATATAGTCTCGGGGAATAATATGTCACTTTTATAACTTTGAGACTAAAATGACCCAATGTAAATAATCAGAGGATTAGTTTGGCATTTCACTCAAATGAAAAGTTTTAAGGGCTGAATTTGATAAAGATGAATATTGTACCATTGGGTTTGCTTTGATATAAGTGCAATCCACGATAAATCAATTAACTCATGTGTTGAACTAATTTCAAAATAAATTTAATGGTTGAAAAAGCGATTTAATCAAATTAATTTGGAATATTGCAAGAACCTGAAAGTAATGTTGACAAGCTTCCAGACATGGGCATATTTAAAGCCATAGAAAATGCTTTCTGTGCTGCCAACATCTCCTCAGACCTTGCTTTGCTTCCATTGCTTTGCTTAGAAGTTGTCTGGCGCTTTCGGATGATTGCCCACCTCTGTAAAGTACAAAAACTTAGCCCTTGGTAATCAGCAAATAATTAACAAAAAAAAGTTGATTTGTGGATTGGTTTTTTTCCAAGGAGCAATTCAAAATAACAAAAAATATAATAATAATAAGTTATTACCAATAGAAATTTTCAGACTCTTGTGAAACCAAGAAATTCCTTCAATAGTTTAGAGTGTTTACATTCTACAATCTCCACAAATGTAAAATGTTTATGAATGGAAGGTTAGAACAAAAAAAGTAAGGAAGACTGGCATGCATAGCACTCAATTCATATGCATTTACATATCTAACAGCTAAATTTCAATTTTTACATGAATACCACTTTACCTATGCATAAAAGTGTATTTCACTTTTTAAAAGTTAAATTGGTGGTATTTTTTATGTGATATGAAAGATTTGCGTGGTAAAAATGTAAAAAATAAAGTTTAGGTGTAGAAATGTAACTATAAGGGAATTGGGTGGTATGTATGTATGTAAAAGCCCCTAAAAATAAATCATTTGAATAATAAACATCATAAGATTAGTAGAATATATACACGGGCGTGCACACACACAATCTTAGTGGATAAGCAACTATACAAGGAGATAAAATAATACATATATATAATGGACCTATTAGGTTTAAATGCTTAATATGTTATATCTATTACATAGATTAACAAAGAAAGATATAGATGATCTATAATTTATTGGAGTTAAAATTAGATGGGTTTAATCGAGAGATGTGGTAAAAGTATCATGCAAAGAGTATCATGGAGAATTAAAAGCTGAATTTCATAAAACAAAACGTAGGCAAAATATATTAATGAATCCAAGTATTCGACCATAAAGAAATCATTAATAGCCAATTTAAACAAAAACAATATTGAAGTGTAAAAAGGATGTGTGGCCAGGCTATAAAGTAGATAAAAAAAAATGTTTATTGTAAAGAGAGAGTGATTAGCATTTATTGAAAATAAAAGTATGTGGAAATTAGACTTAAGATTGTTTTTGTATATACAGCAATAGATAGAATATGCACCAACAAGATAGACAGATGAAATTAATGTTGAATGACTTAGAAGAAATTGGAGGAAACATTAATAGAACTTAAAAATTGGATTTGTTAAGAAAAAGTAATTGTGTCATGTAATGCTCAGAAGAAATGAAGGAGATTGATGATTAATAAAGCCAACAGCTTATGGATTGGATAAGACTTGTTCTGTGACAAAAACATTCCTATAAATCGAAAATGAATTTGCTTATCACAGTTTGAGCATATGAACACAAATAAATAGAATAAGAGAAATTTTTTATGAAAAATCCAAAGAAAATAACTTTTTAGTGAGTCCTCTTGACAGATTCTTTTTAGAGTTCAAGAAGCCGCTAGCTGACATATATTAAAGGTAATGATACTTTAAACAATACAAAGCATTTGTTTCGTCGCTTTCAAAAAAAAAAATTACAAAAATAAGGACAAACAGAAGCATAGGTGATACCATTAGGGGATCCCCTAAAAAGAACTTAGGAATCTTATCAAAATGAACTGAAAATAACTTGACTTGCTAAGATCTTGTTGCACCTCTGTTTTCGATCTTCATTAGTTAAATATTGTCGTAGAGGTAGTATATACTCACGTGAGTGTCCTAATAAAATTAGATACTCAATTTCCTAGAGTTGGAAACAATCTCAGAAAAATTGATTGGACTTCTTATGAAAATTGCATTAAATGGGATTGGTTCCTCCTAGTGAGACATTCTGAGGTAACACTAAAACTTCGTAATTTTTATAGCAGAGAAAAACTGGACGTTTAGAGGCGTGAATGCCTTAATGTATCACTTTTTGAATCAATGATTGAAAAGCCATAATTTTTAGAAACCAAGCTATTGTTTATAATGGAGGGCGATCCATCAATCGAAGAAACCAGCAACTTCATTAACTAGTGTATAGGGCTGGCAAACTATATCGAAGATTGTAAATCACCCAAAAATTGATTTGAATTTGAGATCGAATCGAGATCGAATTGAATTGAACGAGCTGAGCTATGAGTCAAACCTTTCGATCGAATTATTTTCAATCCGATTTCGAGCCATTGTCAGATCGAATCGACAAAGCTATGATCCGATTGAAATTTACAGTGGATTTGAAATCCACTGTCCGTGTCACGGACTACAAATTCAAACCATCCGCTCCCGCAAGGTTGCGACTTAAGTGTTGGTTATCTATCGCTAAACCCTAACTCTTTTTCAGCCCCATAGACCACAGCCACAGAGCCACTCCCATGTTCCGCTCCCCACCCCATTTCGTCTCGTCCCTACTCTGTGCTAGTCCTCTGCAGCCTCCCCTCTGCCCCTTTTGAAATTCCTAATCCAAGGTGAGGAACCACCACTCTGGCATTCTGATGAGCTACGAGCGTTTGGTGGTGTGGTTTGGTGTTTACTCATTGTCTGATCTCTATCTCTCCGACCTCACTTTTTCTTTTTTGTCTATTTCGTAGCTTCCTTATCTCAATCTTAGGATTTTCATCTAAGATAGTTGATTATGTTTAGTTGTTTTCTCGGTTTTCATCTGAGATATCATTGTCTCTTGTATCTCTACTTTATTATGGTTATGAACATATGGTAAATGTTTAGCGGTTTTCTCAGTTTGGCATGACATTAGTTGATATCATATTTTTAATACGTGTTTCAGTGCTTGGTTCAAGCCTTGAAGGTGGTGGGTTCAACTGTTGTGATCATGTGTCAGTTTGGCATGGCACCGGTGATGTATTTTGATAATATGCTTTGTTTTTAGTTTTCATATCTGCGGTAATCATATGGAGTTGTTTGTGTTGTGAAGAGGTGTGTTGTGTGTTTGTTATGTTTGGTTATGTGCTCTTTTGCCTTCGCCGCTTTTTTTACGTTGTTATTTGGTTTTGAAGCGATATGGGCTGGAGATTTACATGTTTTATTTTTATTACTGGATCCGCTATCTCTTTTGGATGGTGATCTGAATTTAGTTTGATCTATTTTTTATGTCAAAAGAAGAATTAGAATTGAAAAATCTTCCTCGTGAACTCATTTTATGATAGTTGATTTTCATGATTTTATAATTAATGATGCATTTAGTTTTCTTTGTTTTTGGCAGCTATTTTTTCTGATATGTTCATCGTAAGTATTGCCAATGAGAATATTTATTGTTTGTGGTTGTGTGGTTCATTTGTATGCTTTTTGTATCAAACGTGGTTTGGATTTCTGTTTTAGGATTTGGATTCTGCTTGTGTAATTAATATCCGGCAATTGTAGATCCCCACCTTTTAAGTTACGTGTTTTGAATTTTGAATGATTGCGGCTGCAGATTTGCTTCATAAGTTCTGGATCTTTTGTTTAAGCGTATTCATTGAAATGTCTGGCTGAACCAGGTGTGTTTCTTCTTTCTTTCTATCATCGTTTCAAAGGAATAGGAGTGTGCTCATTTCTGACAAAATTTTAAGACTTCTGTGATAATGATGTGTGAGTTAGGCATGTATGTGTGTCTAAGCAATACATGTTGGAAGCAATAAATCCAAGTTGCAGGAAACTTAAACCCACTCACCACACTTGGAAGCATTTCTAGCTCACCACTACTGCATGACATCATTTTTTTGTATTTTATATGTTTAGCATCCATAGTAGAGTTTCCTTTAAAGGAGCCTATGTTCATTGAGAGAAACACCAACCTTTTAATGCAAGCTTTGAGTAATGTTAATTTGAAATTGGGGCGTAAACAAATTTTAATTCAGGCTTTAGCACAAACTAAAATGACGCCCTTCAGTTTGCCCTTGTTAATTAAGAATTTCAAGGCTTCATGGTCCATGAAAAACGTGAACTCACACTTTAGTGGGTAATGGCTTCAATGTTCAAGAGTTCTCATGATAGTGTAAAACTCCTTGTCGTACGTCGAGTATTTCCTTCTGGAATTATTCAGCTTCTCAATGAAAAAGACAATGGAGTGACCTCCCTGGCTCGGCACTGCTCCTATTCCCATGCAGGATGTATTATAATCTAGCTCGAACCACTGATTGAAATCTAGTAATGTTAAGACTGGTGTCTATGTCACCGTCCCCTTAAGTGCATTAAGACTATACTGAACTACCTATGTCCGTTAGAAATTTTATCTCTTCAAAAGCTTTGTCAGAGGAGTGGTGCTGGTACTGAAGCTCCTGAAGAATCATTTGTAAAAAAATGCTAGTCCTAGAAACCGCCTCAGCTCAGTGAATGATTGTGATTCGGCCCATCTCATAATGGCATCGATCTTCGTATGATTCATCTGAATGTTTGCACTCGACACAATAAAACAAAAAAAGAATATCTGGTATGTCATAAAGTGGCACTTTTTTGGATGAGCATAAAGCTTTTTTGTTCGCAATATCTCGAATACCACCCTTAAGTATTGTAAGTGCTCCTCCTCAGATCGATTGTATAGCAGAACGTCGTCAAAGTATTTAACCAATTTCCCAATGTGGTCCAGAAATATCTGATTCATCAACCTCAAAAAAATGTTGGGTTCATTTGACAATCTGAAGGGCATAAATGTCCACTCACATAACCCATCTCGTGTCTTGAAAACGGTCTTCTAATTGTCTCCTGGCCTCATTCGGATCTGGTGATACCCACTTCATAAGTTAAACTTGGAAAAGATGGTGGCTCCACGCAGTTGATCCAAGAGGTCAACTAGGCGAGATATGGAAAACTGATACTTGATGGTAATCTTGTTGTTGGTCCTGCTGCCAATGCACATTCATCATGAACCGTCCTTCTTGACTACCATCAGGGCGGAGACAGCACACAGACCGGTACTCTCTCTAACCAACGCTCTTGCGACGAGAACCTCTACCTATCACTGAAATTCCTTGTACTATACAGGTCTAAATTTGGCAACATTGATCCTGGTATGAGATCTATGGCGTGTTAAATGTCCCTCAATAGCGGTAATCCCTCAGAAAGACTACATATCCTGAAAATTATATAGTGGTGGGTGTAGCAGTGTTGATTTCTCACTCTCATTCTCAATTCCCCTAGTACGACTAATGCTAATGGCACTAGACCATCCAGAACTGACTGAATGAATGTGGCCCTTAAAACTGAAGCCTCCTCGGTGTCACCTACACTTCTTGCCTCCTTAACAGATAACACACGATGTGTTTCCCAACATTTTTAAAAGAGTAAGTATCTTTAAAACCGTCGTGTTGAGTCTAGTGGTCGTACTGTCAAGGCCTTTCCAACAAAATATGGCACAGGTCCATTAGAACCATGTCACACCACACTTGCTCCTATAATGATCCTTAATTGAAAATTCAACCAAGCACTATTGATTCACGCGTATCTCATTTTCCCTTTACAACTAAGGGAACAGGACTGAGGATGCTTCTACGTGGCCAATCTCAATTTCTTCACTTCACTATCTGCGTGGACACCACATTTTCACAACTATCATTGTTGATCAAATTGCAAACATTGTATTTTATCGTATACATGGTGCAAAAGATACTTTGTGTCAACCATAACTGATCATTTTCCGACTATAACTATAGAACTCTCTGTATGACTAACATCTCTCCCTAGTCACCATGGATCTAAAGTTCTTCCTCTGAACTAATCTTTGTCTCCTCGTCCTCCACCTCCTCGATAACTCTCTGATCTGTGAATGAGACATTCCGCTTGTGAGATAGCTAGAAGCTATGCGTCCGTGGTCGTGGCACCTGAAACACATCCTGGCAGACACTATACTAGAACTACCCTATTTCGGCTTCTTTCCACTTGGATTTGCCTTGTCACTTCCCTACCATGTCTTGCCAACTCCCATAAAGCTACCCTTGTGGGTCGTTGTAGTTGTAGGTGACTACCTTATTGAAGATTGTTCCTGAATGAAAATTGTTGTCTGCTCTATTTTGGTTTTCTTTCCACCTTCAAGGCTAAGGTTTGAACATACACCATCGACCAATATGGTTGTACCTGCACGACATTGCTAAAGCGGGCTTTAGGCCCCACAGGTGTTGAACTACGGTGTGTTCCTCTAGGTCGACCAACACACACTTCATCTGTAACTGGTCGAATTGTGCTGTGAACTCCTTCACTGAAAAATCTCTCTGCTGCAAGTGGTGTCTCACAAAATGTCCTGGCGGTAATGAGGCAGGATGTATTTTATGTGCATCTCTTTCCTCATCTTTTTTCACTTGGTACTCTTATCACAGTCTTCTCTCTTCCTCTGTCTTCACAAGTTCTCCCACAACAAGAAGACGCTCTTTTTCAACTTGATGGCAGTTAAATTTACCCTTTTATCCTCTAGCACTTCGTTATATTCGAATATTCGCTCAATAGATTGCAACCAATTGATAGTTATCTGGATTCATACCTCCATCAAATTTTGGTAGATTCACTTTGATGTTGAAGTCTTTGTGTCCTCCATATGTGGGCTCCTCTCTTAGCAGCTTCTAATACAGAATCACAAAGTAGCGGAACGGTATTCCTCGTCAATGATGTCTTCCCTGTGAAACGGATTCAAATCTCCGTCCATGTCTCCCCTTCGACTCTTCAGATCACGGTTGAGGGTAATCTCTCCTGAAGTTCCATCATTAATCTCCGCGATCCACTGTTGAAGCAGACTGATTTTCAGTTGTATCTCGTTTAGCATAGATTCTGACATGTATCTTCGTGGTGACATGATTAAGGTTTGGGCTTGGGTTTGGAAGGGATGGTTAAAGGTAAGAAAGAAAAAATTTCGGTGGAAGGGAAAAGAGGATGCTAGGAAACCCTAAAAACAATCAAATATGATTATTATTACTAAAATTTAGAAAGAAGCACAACAAGGGTTCATAAAACTGGAAATAAAATAACATGATACAAACAAGACCCTAGGGCGAGGGTGAAGATGAGCTGGCAGTAGGTGTGTGGGTGGTTTGAGAGGTTATGGCAGCAAGTAGGAGGAGGGCAGGGAGGAAGCGGTGGCACCTAGCAGCTTGAAGGGTTTGGTGGTAGCGGAGGGCGGTGTAGAGGAGGTTGGCAGCAATAGGTATGGGGTTGTAAGGGGCTTGCGGCAGTGAGGCTAGGTGCAAAGAGGTTGGCGGCAGCAAGGAGAAGGCCTGGAGAGGTCGGCGACACTAAGGGATGTGCAGGAGGGCTAGTGGCAGTGAATTAGGCCCAGGGCATGATTAGTGGCAGCAGGTTAGGCACAAGGAGAGCTTGGCGGCAGCAGGTTAGGCGTGGGGAAGCTTGGCGGCAAGCAGGGAAGAGGGAGTGCGACGAGGGATTGAAGAGATAAACACCACCTCGAAGCAGGATACAGTCGGAACACGCATGGCCTTGGATACAGCCCTAGCAAGGGAGGAGACACCCGATGGCTGAACTCTGAAATCAAAAAGAGCAAAGTTGAACCCTAAAACACACACACAACATATATATAGTCCTAAAAGGAAATAGGTGGGAAGGGGGGGGGGGGGGGGGAACTGGTTGGGCCGGTTCAGCCAAGCCAAGGCCAGCCCTGCGTCATTGCCAAATGGAGCTCTTAATCTGGCTGTAACAATGAAATGGATATCAATATGGAAGAAAACAGGAAATGGGAAGATGAATCAGGAGAACCAAAATTCTGACGATAAAAACTCCTTTTTCAAAATATACCTCTCAAAACTAAATTATTCAAATCATTTCCTCAAAAATTCCACCTGCAATTTACTTGATACCATATCAGGCTGTTAACTTGGCAGCGGACATGGCAATAACTAAAAGACCCATAGCTGCAAATGAATCCAGCTCAATCTCTACCAAACTCAAGTTTTGAGGAGACCACAGATAGCGTGGACAAGTCTAATGAGAATGTTGATGATAGGACTTGGTAGTAAAGGAAGAACAATATTCAATACTTGAAAAGTTCAATGATTATAAGATCATAAATTTCACATGATTCTTTGTCTAACCAGTAAAATGTCAAAAAATCATCAACTGTAGCACACGTCCCAAAAGAAAAAAGATTTTTTATGATGGCAATAAAAAAAGATGGGTTCCACGTTGAAATTAATGAATGTATGATGTAGACAGTTGATACCCGGGAGATAATACTGAAAGGCATTATGAGATAAGATATAACCAATAGGCTCGCACAAAAATACCTGAGATAACTGTGATGCAGTTCTATCATGTTTAAAATCTCCTTTTAGAATATTAGCCCAATTGCCTTCACCAAATTTCTCAACAGCAGCTATTAGTTCTGAATCCTCCTCTTTAGTCCACAACTTTCTCTTCTTTTTTTCAGGAAATGAGCCATTTCCATCCAAGCCTTCATTAGAAAGTCCAGTTGACAATAGCTGCTTTTGGCCATTGAGAACGGCACCATATGGTGCAGCTCGGTTATACCGACCAAAGTAATGTTTATCTGATGGAAACACTGAAACTTGCTCAATAGGCGTGTCTGTAGTTGAAGGAGCTTCAACATTTAAAGCAACTGGACTACAATCATCCCCTGCACCAGATGAAAGTATAACCTAGCCAAGGTTTTTAGAACACAATTAGTTTCCATTGGTTAAAAATTAAAAAAAAAACATTGACGAAAGAGAACAAAATATTTCTCCACCCAGCACCGCCGTAACTACATCCAGTGCCCCGGTACCAAAGCGTCACTGCGCTCGCCACCAACTTAAGACAGTCCTTGGTAGTTCGAGTGATCAGAATGGTTAAACTCACTTGATCTTCAATCAGGAGAGGTTTCGGGCTTTGGGAAAACTCAAAGCACGGCAAAAAAGACGACAATAGGAAGAGTGCATGTGTGTGTGATTTTGTGTTAGATTTATTTGTCCTGTGTGCGAGTGAATTGAAGTGTGATTTCATTGTAGAAAAAGGATCATGGTAGAGCAAAAAAAGATTCATATGGGGTTTGATTTTTCTTCATTTGTGTAAGCATCAATTTCTGTCAATGAAGTTTGCTTCGTTTTCTTTGAACATGTTCAAGAACTAAGTAATTTGTGCTTCCTTCATTTGGTAGTGTGATGATTCTGATTCAATCAATAAGATCTTCCTAAAAATAATTGAAATTCAATTGTATATTGGTGTGTTAATTTTTCAAACTTAATTTACTTTCAAATTAATCACTTGAAAAGTTTAAAACTCTAGTGATGTAGGACTATTAACCATAGGTTAAAAGAAGAAGCTAATACTCAAGCAATTAGTGGAATAGGAATATCGTCATTAGGAGACTGCAGCCACATAGAAAAATGAGGATTTCTGGAAGACTTTGTAGGATTAAGCAAAACTTAACTATAATATGCGACTCCAATGCTTTTTATATCTAGGAATAGAGCACAGGGTAATTGTCTCTGATTATCAACATTAAGTTTGGGAGATTCATTAGGAGAATATTGAGGATTCACATGATCCAATTCAAAGAGGCGCTATTTTCATATTAGAGAATCCAATCTTAGTAGATTTTACTTTTGCAAAATTAGTATTTAAACATTTTCAAAATATGCATCACTTTGAACTACACTTAGGGTTAGTAAACTAATGCTTTATCTGATAATTAACAAAAATCCTCGTGGGATCGACACTTGGGCTCTGAATCCATATATTTCTTGATCGACGCGTATACTTGTAAGATATCTTGTGTTCACAGTATTTTAAAGGGATCACCTACAACAAACAATAAGTAGAAAATAAAACAATCTCAAAAGGCATGTTTCCAGCACATAGACTCACATGTTACATTGCTACACAAGAGGCCCCGTAGTTTACATGCCAAACAAAAAAGGGAACAATTTACATGCCAAAAAGAAAAGGAATAATGTTAAGGGGAAATAACAATCACAAGGCAAGAGAATTAAATAAGGAAAATTTACATACCTAGCACACAATCCTTATGTATTTAAATACCTCACACCTAAACTTCATATTTGCAATAATAGCATTTTGGTGCTTCAAAACTATGCATGAGAAGGTATATTCCACTTTTAAAAAGTGTCAATAGTGCTATTCTTTATGTGATATTAAAGACTGAGTGTTATGTGTAAATTTGAAAGATTGGGTGTGAGAAATGTAAACACATAAGAATTGTCTGTTATGTATGTAACTGCCCCATTAATTAAATATTCTTTACATATATCACTGTTCACCTCCTCAAGTCAATCATCTGTTATCTTTTTTGCAAGAAATTTTCGGATAAGCTCAAGGGCATGATGAAGGTAGATAAATGCCAGCCAGAAATTTTACATACAAAGCATTACAGCAAGCTAAGCTTCAGTAAAGGGCAAAAAATCGAAGCATTTTGAACTTACATATAGAAAATTTATAATGATGAAGGGCTTAATATGGAATTTTATAATTATACCTTGACACAACAATCCACCTCCGTTGATAATTCTTCACTTAGATTGGGAGTAGCTTCTAACTCGAATTCCAAATCACTTTCATCAGACTGCGATGACCATTCAAATTTTAATTAATTTCCTTGCAGTGACATAAGTAAAGAAACTTGCGGAAGAGAGAGTTATTTAAGTCTCCTCACATATAAATAACATTCAGAAAAATAAAAAAATAAAACATTGGTTTAGCCTTCAGCAACAGTGAAATATGATGAAACGAATTTCTAAACTTATCCCACTGGAGTTGTGGCAGCCCAAACTCTAAGCCATTAAGGTATTGTCCTCTTTGGCCTAGTGGTCTAACGGTTTTGCTTTATTGGTGTAACTTCCCAAGAGGTCACCCGTCCTAGGATTGCTACCATGCTTAACTTTGAGGTTTTTATCAAAATTTCACCGTTACACTAAAAGACGCCTCAATATCTAAGAGTTCGGTTTCATTCTACTTAAAAGGGTTTTACAGTAGTATTAGGATGAATTTCTTTTCTTGAGAAAAAGATGTTAATTCTATGAGCCTGTGAGCTCATTCAAAAAATTTAATGTAAGTATATGTAATGCGGCATATATGTAGATATGCAAATATATAAGAATCAAGCGGTATGCATGTAAATGTTCCAAAATGTAAATGTACCAATGGATCACCCCCATCTTCAACTTTTTCTAAGGGGACCCTGTAGGCCAAATGTCGCCATAACATTTGATATTCTTGAGCATTAGAGATTCCAGTGGAAGTGGCCTTAACAAGTGTCCTCCAATCTATTGTTACATCTTTTTCAGCAGCCAGAGAAATTTCTTGAAGAAGAGTAAAAATTGTTGATGCGCCATACCTGAAAAAAGAAAAAATGATTTAAATATAGCTAAGAATATCCAAAATTATAACATTTTAATAAGGAAATATTAGACGATCAAGGATTATCTTGAGAAAAATAAAAAACCTAATCATCCCAATTAGTCTTGTCGAACTCATCAGATATAGAGAACTTCTTAAGAGTAGCAAAGCACAATTATTTTGGGGAGGGCGATGATAATGATAATTAAAGGCATCAAGGAAATTACTCAAACATGTTCAGACTGCCGTAAACTATCTTAATTCTTTTATTATAAATTATCCCCGAGACAGAAGCAAATATTTTATTATCAATACTGACTTTCTTTTTATTAAAATTTTGAAACTAAGTAATGTACTATTGAACTGAATTAGAATGTGAGAATAGAAATTGTAGCTGCCAAATCCTAGAGAGTAAATCACCACAACAAAATTATATGATCCCTTAGAATAATAATTTTGTTGAGCCCGCTTAGTTGACAAAGTTTGGAATTCACAGCTATAAAGCATATTATTTGCAACATCAAAAGGTTTGTAATTATTGCATCAGAAGTAACCCTCAATTTTTTCAGTTAAAACTAGAAAAGAAAGGAAAAATGGCAACAAAAATTTAAAAAGAAGTTTATTATCCAACGGCTTAGTAGGAGTTTTGCCAAAAAAAATAAAGAAAGAGCAACTTCCTCAGATCAGACAATTTGCTCGCCAATTGGACATTTTTTCAAGTAACAAACTTGCCCGGTCATTGGGTTGTTGCAATAATGAGGCTATTTTTAACTGAGAAACCCACCTCTTTCTTGAGTGAGTTTGCTCGTTGTTTATTTTTTAATTATTTTTTTTAAAATGGCTAGCAGACATTGTTATTGGTTTTTATTTTTATTAAGCACGTAATACCTAATAAAAGAAACGGATAGTTCATGTGAAAAAAAGTGGAATATACATCAATATCATAGTTGTTTCCTTACAGATTGACAACTAAATTACTCATTCAGTGAATTTGCTCTTTTCTTACTCGTTCTTATATAGCTAGTATTTTTTCTTTGAAGTGAACAACTCAATATACTGCTTGTGCACTTTTCTTAACCATTTAAAAAATAATTATACTAATGCAGATTCCAATTGCATTACTTGTTCAGACTTTTCAATTTCTTATTGAGCTTTATTTCTCAATCTTTTAAAATAAATAAATAAATAAATAAATGACATTAGGAGCCATTTCTAACAAAAAGATTTAAAGGAACAAACTCATCCAACAATTTGGCGAGTTGCACAGTTTTTTCTCACTTTTAAACAATAGTTAGTTATCAAAACTATTCATTATTTAAAAATAGATAACTAGAGTTCAAACAATAATCGAGTGAGTTTTAAAAAATAGAAAACAAAAACTCCATATGGCAAGCAACTCGCCTAGTTTATGGGACAGCAGCACCTTAAATTTTCTTTCAGTCATGCTTCTCCTGCCAAAACTGTTATATAATAAGCTCATTTTTTAAGTTTATAGAATAAGAGTGGGCCGCTTACATACTACATACAAATGCGAAAAGTAAAATGGGTCATATAAAATAATGTGTTTTAATATCTTACAAATAAAGAGCTCTTCAAGAAAATGGACAAGCAAAGAGAGCGCATGCATGAATTTTCCAATATTTGGTTGGTAAGCTTGACAATTGGAGTGGTAAGGCAAAGTCAAATAAAGTATAGCTGTTGAGATTTGTATCTAATATAGGGTTTTGATTATAAATAGAAGAATTTTAGAGGTTTATTTGTAAATGTTGTATGGCTCTATATAAGCCAATATGTTAATGAAATGGACAAGATGATTATTGCAAAATCATTCTCAATACGATACCAAAGTCCTAATTTTCTGCCCTCGATCGTGATTGGCATTGTTCGTCCTTTCTTTTGCTTCGTCCTCGCTAAGCAACCGCTACCAAAGCTCGTTAGGAAGGCAGCGGGAGGATCGCGGCTCAGAGGGAAGAGGCTTCTGGCTGGGATCAAGCGGCTCGATTTCGTGAGAAAAAGGATCGCGCAGGGAGGTTCGGTCTCTGTAGGCAGGCGATTCGACCATGACTTGTCAATCAGGAAGAACAGAAATGGGACAGCTAATTAGGAGCTTCCTTATTTAAATTATTTTCAATGACTTTATTATGATTTATTTTCCTTTTAGCTAAATATTTAGATTAGGAATATGTATTATTAAGTTACATAAAATAGATTATACACTTTATTATGTACTTAAAATAGATTGCAACATTATTATTTAATGGAATGAAAGCAAACGGAAAAGGCATTGAGCCTATTCAGAATTCAGCCTATTTTTCTCAAAAATTTGATATGGTATCAGAGCCAAATATTTGTTGTAACCACCAATAATCGTTGGAGGATCGTCAAGACTCTATTCCCGTCGGCCTTCTTGCGGGACGGGAAGGGAGAAACTATTTCTTTGTCTTGATTCACGCTCGTCTGCTCGTCGTCTCATTATTTCTTCATCTGCGTCGTCTTCGTTCTATTTCGTCTCCCTCTTCAACTCGGCCAGTCTCGACAGAGTCTCTCCTTCGTTTGAACTCCATCCGTAGTGGCTCCCGCCTTTGACATGGCCTGAGCTTAGGGAATTATCTCCGTGAAAGCAAAGGAGGGAGATGACGAATGAGATTGCATTTAGCCGCCCTTGGGCTAACGACGAGAGATAGAGAGATGACCAGTGTGTTGGTGCTCGACAATGGTGGCGGCCTTATCAAGGTCGGCTTCGGAGGTGACCGCGACCCTGCACTAGGTGTCCCTAAGCCCCATTTCATCCAAGAAATGGCTTGTCGCCGATCAACTTCTTGCCACATACTTCGATATCACTTTTGTTTCTCTCCGTAGACCATTTGACCTTGGCTATCTCATCAACCCCGATCTGCTGAAGGAGATATGGGATTGTGTGGTGCAGTGCGCACTCTTCTACGCGCCAACCCCTCCACCTCCTCGCTTCTTCTCGTGGAGCCCCTCTTCATTTTGTTACATTTATTGAAAAGTATTGATGAGGAAAAAGATGAATAAGAAGGCTCCAAACCCTCGTAAAGCTCATAACCGAATTTTTGTGGGTTCCCCAAAATCAATTCTTGATGAATCTGGCAGTGACGGGGATAAAGATTAAAAGGCTCTGTCCACTTCGAATCTCCTTCACTAGTCATCGTTGTTTCTGTGGCATCTTCGACTGCTTCTTCTGCCGCTTCGTCCGCTTCGGCTTGCTTCCTCGTCGCACTCAAGAATTAAAGGCTTCGACACTCCTTCCAAGACTGACGGCTTTGACTTCGGCAAACCCTAGATCTTCGGCATTCACGACTTGGGCAATCTCGGCTTCGGCACTCACGGCTTCGACATCTTGCGTGAAGATCAGGGAACAAATCGTCCTCGTAGTTGCAGGAAGAATCAATAGCATTTTGATCGTATAACAGGACGCAGATCCTACTTGTGGGCTATGATCAGTAGAATTTGGATCAGGATGCGGATCCTACTTGTAGACTATGATTGATAACATTTCGATTAACTGGATCTTATTTGTGGGATATGATCGGTAGCATATGGATCAAAACGCAGAACTTACTTGTAGGCTATGATCGATAGCATCTGGACCGTATAACTGAATCCTATTTGTAGGCTATGATCCGTAGCATTTGGATCAGGACGTGAATTCTACTTGTAGGCTTTGATCCATAGCATATAGATCCTGTAACTGGATCCTATTTGTGGGCTATGATCGGTAGCATCTGGATCGTGTAATTGGACACGAATCCTTCCGGTGGCTATGATTCGAATTTCTGGACGGTAAGGATAAAGGATTTCTTGTTTTTCTTTGCTCAAATCATGTTATGGTTCAGAAGTCGTCTCTAAGGTTTCAGCATTCCCAATTTCGGAACTTTCGGCTTTAACACTCACGGCTTGAGGATTGTTGGTCCCAGCAAAATTTCTTGGGCAGCTAACTGAGGGGGGATGTCAATCATCAATTTGCGGGCAGCAAAATTGCTGACTGATTAGGAAGCATCAATTTGAGGGGGGATGTCAATCGGGAACGACGGAAATTGAGCAGCTAAATTAGGAGTTTTCTATAATTAGGATCTTCCTTATTTAAATTATTTTCAATGTTTTTATTTTGATTTATTTCACTTTTAGTTGAATATTTAGATAAGAAATATGTATTATTAAGTTACCTAAAATAGATTATGCACTTTATTATGTACCTAAAATAGATTATAAGACTATTATTTAATGAAATGAAAGAAAAGGGAAAATGCATCAACCTTATTCAGAATTTAGTCTATTTTTCTCAAAACTTTGACATGAATGTCGTACAAAGGGTTCTTAAGTGCAGGGAGAACGGCTCGATGCGAGGGTCGCACACGAGTGGAGACATTCGATGCAAGGCAGGTCACGTGAACAAGGAAGCATCGAGATAGCAACGAGGAGCACCGAGAGGGGAGACTAAAGCTTCTGTGCAGGGTTTTCGGTGTAGAGAGATCGAACTTGCAAGGCTAGTGCAGAGCACTCAATTTAGACGGAGAAGGAAGATTGTGTCTGATGAGAGTAAGAAAGATCGTATGATAGACTTCGGTGTGAGAAATTGATCACGAGATTGTGCAAAAGGGCTTTAGCTGGCGCAGGGCAACACTATGCAAATTATATTTAAAAGGGAAGGCGATGAGGTTTAGTGATTGTGAAATTTTGTATTGGATTTTTAGTTGTTGGTGTGAATAGAGACGTGCAATCTACTTTTTGCTATGTGTGATCGACAAAGCAATGCAGCAGTGCGAGGGAAGCAGATAAAGCTTTGATTGGGTCATGCGAAAAATTTGTGACAACAAGGAAGAACGACAAAAAATTAGCAGCATCGACCGCAAGTATGACGGATGCTCAAGGGGAGACCCGCAGGTGCTACAATAGTGCGGAAGTGGGGCATCTAAGCAAGATTTGTCCAAAGCCACCCAAGGAGAGAAAGACAGGTGAAAATGAATCGTCTAGAGG